ACTGCTCACGCGCTACTTTAGAATCGTTTAACAAGATCTGTACAAAATAAAACTTTACCACTGAAGACATGCGGTCATTTTGTTAATACCTTTATATCTCTATGAGGTCTGTACTAAGTGGCAGTAGCGATATATTTAACTCGGTACACTGAGTCTTAGTTATCTTATGTGCCTTATCTTCTGAGAGTACCATCAATGACAACGCTACCCTACATTCCTCTTATAGTTTCCCGCAGTATTGAAGCTGCATCAAACGCGGGCAAAGTCGATAGGTCTTGTTCATTCCATCGGAAAAGCAAAAGTAGGGGCTATTGTTTACACGACTTGTAGGTTATGGGGCACGTCTAGTGATTAACGGAAGGTGTCCCACTGGCCGAGAAGCGGTGAGGCGTGGAGGAGGACAAGAAAAGTCTTTGTACGTGCAGGGGCCATTGTGAATGCCGCAGGGGATAGTTAGTAAGAGCTAGAAGAAATCGAACTAGAGACGTCACCAGTGACGGATCTAAGTAATGATGTAAGGCAAAGAATTATTTTCTCCTAAAGAGGCATCAAGATAAATAATAAATGCTGATGTAGACTGATTTATTAAGATTTTAACGTATATAGTAAAAGTTAGACAACAGTAGGTTTCCAAAATATGTGTACTTTGGAGACGTTACGGTTCTTAGCAATAAATAACGTTTAAAGTCTCTTCATCCGTACGAGTTGACGGTGATATTAACTGAGATTTACCGGTCAATTAACTAAACTAAAAACTTAAATTGGATGAACGATTAAAACTGATTATTATTTATATTCCCACATTCAATTATAGTTCATCGAGAAGACTCGTATGGTTCTTTTCTATAAGGTTTCTGTACCAACAGGTAATAATTAATAAAGGATACATGTATATATAGAACATCTTGTATCATAATATGCGTGGGAATAAATCATTGAACGTCCATAATTGAAGTACTGTCGAAACCGTAGAGAAACCGAAGGGCGCACAGACAAATTAAAAACTCCACAGCGCTCCCACAACGGTCCTTGTGTTTATTTGTGAATAGTTATCCATAATACACGGAATTACACGGACGGACGATCTTCCGTTTAAAGGCATCCAGTTACCGGTAGGTGAGGTAAAAAAAAGTATAATAGACAAGGCTCCACCATAAATAATAGAATCATTAACATCTGCCGCTATGATTCGAGCATCGATTTTTTTGGCGCCCAAAAAAGTTCGATGTTTAAGAGGCCTAGTTAGGGGCGTCATCGGGACATGAGTTATTATGACGGTTGTTTCGTTACGTCGTTTTTTTTTTAATTTCGATGCCTAATAGTGTTTGTTATGTTGCCAATGTTCGCCACTGCCTACGTATTTAACTTTGTCAGTGTTTCCTAATAATTGCTGAGGGCGTCGTTATAATTATCAAAAAAGAAAAATACTGGGACCTACATATTTATAACTTAATAATGATTAGAAGTTATTGATTAGAATCATATCGTTTATTAAAATGTTCTGATATTTCCTACACAATGTGTCAAATACATACAATATGTGTTACATTCGAGATAACAAACTAAAATACATGCGGAATGATTAAAGTTATCGCGTTAAAATAATGTTAAATTCTTCAAACATGCAGTTTAACTGCGTGCGAAAATAGCTTTCGTCTTAAATACGAGATTAAAAATCAAAATGTCTACTAACCAAATGGTCTGAGTGGGGGTCCCTTGGCGCACTAGGCACTGGATTTGGCCACAGCAACTTTGACAACATCCGTTGGCTTTGGTTATAGATGAGCTCCTACGAAGGTGAGAAAAATGAACTTTAGTATGATAAGATATAAGGCGAAATAAGCCTGACGATGAGAAGGATGCAAGAAAGGCCGGATATCTATAACGACATCGGTTAGTTAGGGGCTAAGAGATATGCGAAGGTACAATGACAGGTAAGCAACAATGTAAAGAGGTTAAAAGTACACATGCCAAAAGGACTACCGTGTTAGAATTTCGATTTGAAATGCCGGAACAAAAATATACCTATAGTTCCGGAGTCCTATTTATATCAATGAACACAATGCGCTGAAAGTAAAGACCTCAGATCAAGACAGAACAAGTAAAACCCATGAGATTTAATGTCGTAGAGTCATAGCCAATTTTCTGGTTTCCAAAATAATTGAATGCAGTTTAATGTAATGCTAATGTCTACAAGCTATCATCAGTGACATCTTGTCCCTTTACTATAAAAAAAAATCCTACCGCTTATCAACAGTTCCCTCACGTAATCGAACAGTTTTAGGTGATTCCATTTCATTCAGGTGCGGAAAGAAACCAGCTCCACCGGTCTTTGGTCCTTGATAAATTTAAATCATCGCCGTGGGTGGTGAACAATTGCGATTAACGCAATATCCGTTACACGGTTTACAAGGTGAGATGTCAAGGGTAACATTTCTTAGAATCGATCGGCAATAACCATACATTATGCCCCTATTGAAATATGCTGAATGAGTGAGGTTATTATAAGTAATAATACGTTTTTACCGAATCCGCGTCCGCACCGCCGGCGAGTTGGTTTAACAGTGTCGGGACGTGCAGTCAACTTTTGGGTCGTGTTTACAAAATACGGATTATCTCAATTTATTTTTATTCAGTAATAGATCACGAGTTACATTATCTATTTTTCGGACCATTTTCGGATGATTTCCATCCGAATGGTATTTAGTGGTAAATGTACTAAGTAGATCCCTCGTTTTGAAAATTACAACGTGGATGAAGTGACAATTCAAGCCGAGATTGAAATAAATTGAAAATCAGAAAGATCTTTTTGAGGAAGGCCTTTATTAATTTCAATGTACTAAGCGGAAAATCACACAAGAAACTATACAACAAGCGTAGCTTTAAACCACATCACAAACAAGGAGGCGTTGCAAACGCGTAAACATGAAGCAAATTGGAAACCCGAATATCATTATACCGTAACGCGAAAGCTTATTTCAGCTTTTGAATAGCCGAGTGTTGACCACTCCTGGCGGGTAAAAAGTATAACGAGACGGTAATAATAGGCTGGGCCAACTTCTCGCCCGCAAAACAAACATAGTGGACAGAGAAGGCGAGCGCCCAGAGAGTGCTAAATTACTTTAATAACGGCGTCGGACCGGGCGCGGACAGGTCGAGCTATACTCCGAGCCCTTGGTAACTGTTCGGGTTTTGTAATTTATGATTTTGGCGATTCCCGAATTATGTTATATCTGTTATTAGTTAAAACAGACGGACAGAGAGCAAATATATTTATTTACAAATTAATTCTGATGGGAAACGAGTACACTGTGTGATAAAATTACTTTGATATCCATTTAGATTTCAGTTTTCAACTTTAACGTCTAGAAATTGCACAGAGTAAATATGTATATGAAAACAGAGGTTAAATAGTTATAATCGGTGACGTATTTATTTGTCTGTGGCGAAGTGTGCCAAGTACTATGTGTAAAATTATAGCAATAAATGATATTTATCTTGCATAATACAGCTGTCAGATATATGGGCGGCGGTTGTATCTTTTTTCGACCGGTTTGGAAACATCGACACAGTCCATTAATAACCGGGGAAGTCGTTTGCCGTGTATAACAAAATAGTTATGGCCGTGCAACAAGCTTTCATTCATCTGCATTCAATGTACGCGTTACGAAGGTTTTTTCTCGGTTTATTCCAGCGTATAATATTGAAGGTTTTTTCTGCGGTTTTATGAGGCACGATATATTTTGTTATAGATTTTCTTTATAGCTTCATCTCACATTGAGAATCGTTCTGTGTTTTATCAAATAGAAAATATGAAGTACGAAGACGCATATGATTTTCAATTTATAAGTCATCCCCTCTAGCGGATGGAAGCTGAAATCAATTTTATTTGTTTAACGTTGTTTAAGTTAGTTTAAAACAAATAAAAAAAATGCGGCAATTGGAAGTCCTAATAAAGTAAAAGTAACGTAACAGATTATATTTATTCCAATGCTTATCAAAAGACTCCTCTGTAGAAAGGAGAGTTCTTCATATTACATGAAAATGCGTTCTCCTTTAGGGACGCATTTGTCCAGCTTAGTGTACAAGCAATTTACATAATTAACATTTGCCAACAGAAGAACCAAAATTAACCATATTATGATCACAAGTAGAAAACTTTGAAATTATAATTGGTATAATATTTTAAGAAATAAATTAAATTCATTCGATAAAAATATCAAAAATTCTTATTCCCTTAAGTAAAATGCAAATGGCGTTATAAAATATTGTTATTAATGGTGTATGGTTAGTGGACTTTAAGATCTTGGAAAGAGAATTACGAGAATCACTCTCGTTTAATTCAGTTAAGCGAATTCCGAAAAAAGTTAATGTCAAGTGCTTAATCATCGAGACCTCAAGGCTTTGAAGGGTGTAATTATCGGGCAGTTGTACAAATATGAATGGGCCGCTCGTCCACGCCGGAGGGCGTGTTCGAACCCGGCCAGTGTGTCGACGCCAGTAAGAAATACTATTTTGTTCTTATAAAAGTGCAGTATTAAGGAACATACTTTGCTTAAATAGTTTACCAAGGCCAATGTCAACGATACTATATCAAAGTAATCGTGGAATCGAGTATAAAATCATTTAGAAAATGACTTTGCTTTAAATATAGATAACTTCGGATCCATTATTAAGAAATTGAGCGCGTCGCCTGATAATTTTCTTTATCGACGCCATATAGAGATCGGTAAAGCTCAATGGGGACATAAACAGCCAGTAAAACCGACTGACAACGGCGGCCATTAAAAAAGCACGTTCACGGCCCGCGTCAGCTAGACGCCGGAGTCGGGGAATCATTCTAATTAAGCGCCATAAAACCGAAGATCGTCGGGCGCACTCGTTAGCTCACCGGCGGTGGAGCAGGAATAAACGTGAGCCGCCTTTTGTGCGGGCCCACCGTACGGCCGTAATAGATTAATGATACGGCCTGCGTGGTCCGCTCTAAACGAGGCGCTTTAAAGGCGAAGCGATGTTCTCGCAGCGGCCGCTCGGCGAGTAATGACGTTCGGCCGCCACCCGCGCGCGAGTGAGCGGGACGCCGCGCTACACGAGAGCGAGATGGGCGGATAATCGTTGGAGGCGCCGGTGGCGCGCCGCGGGGCGGCGCCCGCGCTTGCACCACGCGCTCTTATTGAGAAATTCCCGAGATGATGCATAATTCTCCTTTTGGTCCACTCCACCGTGGTTATTTTACTCCCCGTTAACAATATTACCATTTCGGCGACCGTGCCGCGGCCATACATTATCATGGACGTCTACACTCCCTTGTGCGCGCTGTTGATTTATCCCGGGACGTTAATGCGACGTTGATTGCGTTCCGTTGGGACACGACCCTTTCGATTAGAGGTTATTATTGTATGATAGCTGTATTAACTGAATTGTTTATTGGTTTTTACCAAGGCTTTTGCCTTTGTCTGATGTAATAGTACGAAATTCACGATATTTATTTGGCTCAATTTAAAGTATTAAGTATTTTCAGTGTGTCCGTCGTATTGTAAGAATGTGTTATTTAGCATACGTATTTGTACGACCATCTCGTGGTATCTGGCTGTTCCAGGACCTCTGCGTTCAATACTTTAATAGATTACGGACCACCACGAATGTTAAAACATCTATCACTAAAGACAAAGACTTCGCCATACAATTCAATGTGACCGACAGTATTGATTGAGCATTAAATACAATTCCCGTAAACGGAATAAACTTTAATAATATTCAAATAACAAACGAAAAACTAATCGCGGCGGTAATGCGTTTCCAAAACCCCGATTCCTGGACGCGCTCCGCTCACGCGTGGCCGTTGGAACAGCAATCACGTGTTATCAGACAGTTATGCTAATAAGACGCGCTAATTCCCAAAACCAACAAGCGAACGAAACAGGGACGGTGGGCCGTTGCAAAAGGAACAAACGCGAGATGAGTAAACCGGCGCCATGGGCAATTACAAGCAGCGGCTGGTCGAAAGACGGTGTAACAGCTATAAATAACGAGTTAAAAGCTATATGCTATAAGCGAAACGTCGCGCGCTTTATAACAGTAAAACGTAACGATAGGCAATGTTGCACAAAAAAAATATGAAGCATGTTAAATTTTTGTTTTCATTTCATCGTTTTACAGTGTATTCAATTAATTGAAAGCTGACGGTCTAACTACGTTCATTTCATATATTGATGATACTTAAATGGAATTAACATGTACACGCTCCATTCAGCAATTATGTCGTTTGTTGTGGGACGTCGATGAAAACGTTGTAAGTGAAAATAGCAGCGCTATTTAAAGATCTATATTGATATAAGCGCGGCAGCTGCGATCGCTGGAACCGCTCGGCTTTCTAGTCGCCGATTTTTTAGGAGGTCTACATAGGTTCGCAGTGTAACTCGAGTTCGGGGAACGAAAAAAACTGGTCCAAAAAAACCTTATTGTCTCAACTTTTAACATCAAAATTATGAACATACTTATGAAAGGTTTAACATATAATCTTTGGTGAAGACAAGTTTTATAACGATTATTTTTGCAACGTGTTTTTAGGAAATGTATTTTTTTAATTAAAGTTATTTTTAAAGTATTCGTCGATATGTGATAAAATTATTTGTTTTATTACATACTTATATACTTGTCCTCGAGTTGATTATAGTCAATTTTATTAGGAATTATATAAGTAGATCACCCTTTGTTCATGTACCTTTATTAGTATTTTTTACTAGAGCTGGAAAAAGTAATCACTTTAAGTCTGAACCTAGATTAAATCTAAGTACAACTACAGACTTAAGGATTGATCCTTTTTAAATTCGGTGCAAGACTTGTAAATTTTTCGTTTAACTATAACAAATAGAGTATTTTTTAGATCCTATGAAATTCCTATTTTAAAACTCTCGAATATAAATTAATTCCTATTTATTTTGCATTATTTTGTATACCCCAACATAATCCTTACTATTTTTATTAACTGATGTTAAGTGAATACCACCGCCCATTGACATCTGCTACACCCGAGGGTTCCAGATGCGTTGACAAACTTTTGTAAATTGGGCTCCGGCTACCTTACTCACTAGACAAAACGCAATACTTCCACTTTACGCCGGTCTTCTGTATGGTCGTGGTACTTACCCGGACGAGCCTGCTCATTCGTTTATATACATATTTTATGTATATCTGTCTTTCTGTCTGAATGTTACGCCTTCAGCCTATTCTACGCAGACGTAGTCGCGGGCAGCAGCTACTAACTAAATAAAAGGCAAATCTAATGCTAATAATTTTTCCTTTTTTGTTTCGCCGACTTTGAACTTTGGTATAACTTCTTCAGTGTCCATGGAAAAATCAAAATTGCGCCCTGATTTTCGAACATGAGTTCCATGGAGGCACCAATGCAACATAAACGGCACGCAAAGACATACGGATATACTCTTGAAAAGGAACACTTATAAACATGTAGGAACTTATAGCAAGCGAATCTTAAGAATATTATTAGAATTGCATCATAACCATACTATTTACAACAGTCCCTCTTGGCAAGTTCTTTAGCAACCTTAAATCAAATTAATATTTCCGCAGATGTCATTGTGTTATTTGACCATAAGGTACAAAGCGTAAGAGTATCTAATTTTAAACAAGTTTTCATTCTTTCACTATATGCGCTCACCTAACATCAAACATTTTATTGGCGCTTATCAGTCTTGTGGACCTGTTAATGAGATTCTTAATTACAATTTTCTTCAAACGGACCGTTGAGGGACAATCAATGTTCTTAATGTCAGTTAAGAGATGATAGAATTCTCAGTCTAGGCCGCACTCGTCAAACTTTAGCCAAAAATTCCCTGCGGACACGTCACGCAATGCTATTGGTTTTTCAGGCCTGTTGCAATAGAGTTGTTATAGACGTCTCGTAGTACCGGACGCACTAATCCGGTAATTCGAGCGGGGCGTGACCCTCCTGGGACCCGTGACGTCACGCCGGCCAATGGCGGCGCCGCAACGCTAAGCTCATTGTCGCCCCCGACGCCTCATTGATACTATCGACGCGCCGCGCGGAATGGACGGTGCGAACGGAAAGCTCATGCCCGACACTGAGCTCCTTGACAATGACCGAACTGTTCGAATTATTCTTTCGTTTTTCTATTTGCTTTTTAAATCGCGCCTCAAACCGGCCTGTCACCTAGCAAGCCTTGCGTCAAATTACGTACACAAATTATATACATAATTCAAGTAACTTTGAATACCTATCGATAATATAATACCGCTTAAATTCGGAATTATTTATGCTAACTCAATATAATATAGTTTGGATCAAATATCTTAGTTTGGTCTTATATTAGTTTATTCATTGTAAGTGAACTATAATAGTTGAACTATCTACGCCTATATGCATAACAAAAACATAGGCCTAGCGGCCATTACGGATGTGACGTAATAACTTAAGCCCCAAGCACACCGTGGCGTTGCAACTAATCCTATGCTTTTGTAAAAGCACCCTAGTTCTGTCACCCTATTCGGTAATATCTCTTTGCGTCGCTCGCCACAGGATTCGGTTTTTACTGCTAATGTGATAAGGTACGCATTTGCATGTTTCGTGTTTGCGGAGGCGCATTATTACGCAACAGTTTGCGTTTACGCTGGAAGGGGTCATAGTGAAATGTAATAATATCGCCAACGTATGATTTACTTTATGCCACTAATATTGTAGCGAAGTGAGCAACGCGTGGTAAAGTCTGTTGGAATGTCGAACGAGGAGTATGTAATCTGTACCTACGTTATTTTATTACTTTATACTAAGTAATATTTTTGCACTAAAGCTTAGATCAAAATATTACTAACAGTAATTTGACCTACGTTAGGAGATTATTGCGACTCGGATGGAAATAACGTGATATCGACTCTTACATTTGCAATCAGTGTTGTTTTCTGGAAAAGTGAGAAGAAAAAGGCGAGAAGAAAAGTTTTACAGGGTCAGGATAAAGCCGGCATCAATGCTTACATAAAGAACCCACCATGTCGATTATGCAGTACAACAGTCAAACCTATGACAGTGCACAGGACCGTCAAGAGCCTATTCCTAAAACTCCGGCAAAGGTATGCTATCCTCCAGTATTGCAAGCGTCCGTAGCACTTAAGAATGTATACCATTACACTTTTTAAAACATTAATCTGACTTCTTAAACGAGGAAACTCGGCATCGCAGGGTACTGTAAAATCGCCAGTTGAAGTTGTACCGTTCCCGCTTTCTACGTACTTATCAGCAACTCGTAAATCTCAATTCGACGGCCGCTAATCTCTCTAAGCCTGTACTGGGCGCCTCAATTAACTCCCCCCTCCCATGCCCACAATTAGACAGATAATGCCGCTACTGGTGGTCCTGCCTCTTCGCTTTATCGGCGCATTGCCCACGCTTTATTGCCTGTGTCGTGACGGATCGCCTCTCCTGACAGCCTTTAGGATCTCCGCAGATAAGTCGCTGGGTGGCGCGTTCTCATCGAGCTGCCCTGTGCTGGATGCTAAACGAACTGACCGAGTTAATGCCTGTTCGATGTTGCCTTAGAAACCACCGTGTGGTCACTTCTATCTCATGATAAATGGTTCATTTTTTTATGAGGAACTCCTAGGAATTCACTACGCTGCTCAAGCAAAAGCTCCTCCTCCTTGGAGACACCAAGAGTCCACTGGGGCCTTTTGAGTTTCGACGTCATTAATACGACAGAGTGACTGGCTTGCAGGCATCTCCCTGACACCTCACTCACCCGACGAAACGCTAAAATACTACCACGTCACGCCAGTTTGCTGCCGCCCTAACTTCTGTTCTGGACTATCTACGCTAAGCGGCAGACACGTGTGACGTAGTCATAGGAATTTAAGGCCCAGGTAACTTGCATTTCTGCCTCTCAGTGTATTTAATGATGTTACACCAGATGGTTACTGCATCAGTGCATCATATATAAGAACTATCAGACAATCGTCTTGCGAAGTAAATTCACTCGAATCTGGTGAGTTTAGAGATTCCGCTACAAGCACCAAATAAAAGAATTTAATACTCATGCTGTAAAACAAGTTCGTTCTCTAACTGCTAAATTGCTTGCGTTACATTTGTAGTTAGTATAATACACATAATTTCATTAAAGTTAAGCGGTTTATTTAAGAAATAAAACCTCTATAATGCACAAAGCATCGATAATAAATAAAATTATAGATTAGATTTGCTCTCTATCATTTGGTTTACGGACTAGGCGGTTTAAGTTATATCGGTAAAATGAAAAACTTGTACTTTAATTGCGTTACTTCATTAACAGTCTTCGTCATTGTGTAAACCAGTAAATCAAATGATTTAAGCAGGCAGTTAATAGGCTAGATTACACCATGATTATTTGAACCAAAGACGTACAAGTCTAAGATCATGAAGATTATAGAAGGTACAAGTTATACTTCGATTATAAAATGAAATACAATAATTTTTGACGTTTTTAAATATATCGTTTTATATTATTAAAATATGAAAATCCATTTTTCATATTTTTAATTGTCAATTAAAATCCATATCTAAATGACTAACTTGATATGTCATTTTCTTTGAATTACTATGAAAATTTAATCTTACATAATACCTAGTGTAATATTTTTACGACAACCATTTACTCAAATGTAATATGATATACACCTTTGATTATTTTGATTGCAGCATCATAAATATATTAACCATTACGGGCGAATAAAAAATTTATCGAAGTTCCGAAATCGATTACAACGCTCGACTACAATCGCTTAAAACTTACAGATGTAAGTTTTAAGCGATTCGATTCACCGTACCTGTCTTGCGACAAATCAAATCCGAATGGAGGATGTGAATCGGCAGTAATGATGACTCCGTGGCGCAGTTGCCAAGGTATCGGCTTCGGCGACGGTTTCGTGGGTTCGATTCCCACACGGTACAACTATTTGTGTCACCCGCAGGTAACTGTTTCGTATCTGGGTGTTTGTCCACGTGAAATTTATGTTTTTTTTATGTGAAAAATTTGCCAAACGAGCAGACGGTTCACCTGATGACAAGTGAATACCGCCGCCAATGGACATCTGCTACACCCAAGGGTTACAGATGCGTTGACAACCTTTTTAAAATTGGGCTCCGGCTATCTCAGTCACCAGACGAAACGCGAAAGTATTTGTCATACTTCCACTTTACGCTGGTCTTCTGTGAGGTCATGGTACTTACCCGGACGGGCTTGCCCATTCGTGCAACAGCCGAGGCTGCTGCGTGGCCCTACAACTTTATGTGTAAAACCTCCTTACAATACAGGGTAATGTTATCCTACAGTAAGGGCAACGATTAAAAAAATGCCTCCGAGAGACAGGAAAGGCGCGTGACGGCTCTGCGTCGGCGCACTCGGAGCGACAAACGGAACAACGGCGAATGGAACGGCGGCGGTCGGTCCGTTTGAAGCCCACAAAGGAGGCCGATTTGTTTGGCATAAAGAGCTCCTCAGGCCCGTCTATATCGGCCTCATGCGAATTTATTCCCGCGGTTATTATTGCAATTCAATTAACGGCGGCACAAAGCTCGCTCGGGTTACGCTTTATTGAATCGGACGGATCGCCGTCCGGGGGAGGTCGGGCCGTCGTAAAGATGGCCGTTTTATCGCCGCCGCGGATCACCAGTGGCGGATTGGGCACGGCGGCGCACTTAATCCGCCACGTACAGGCCCGAATCGATGTGCGGTAATTAAGGGATTCGGAATATGCGCGTGGGCTACGCTTCAAACATTCCTCGGAAAATTCCATTCGTTTTTTTTTTCTCTTACGAGATCGAGGTGTACGGACGGATACAACTGTAACCACACGTTTCAGCCAAGGTCCTGTATAAGAAGTTCAGTTATAAATTTTTACTCAAAAAACGAAGTTTGAGTCTTGATAATAATCTCACCTGATAATAAGTAAGACACTAGCCCGGCAAACAACCTATTCACTCTTAGCCACATTTAAATGACAATATTTATTTAAAATTTGTTGCCTTGGAAACTTCCTATAGTTGAGTAAAGAAAGAATAAAAATGAAGATAGCTGAAAAAACATGATAACCGACATAGCTCTAGATGGCGCTGCAGAACAAAGATATATTTAACTGCGTCGCCAACGCCCTCAATGAAACAGTAACTGACAACTTTCTCACGCGACGCACTCCAAACGGAAAGTTAAAGGCTCTAACTGTTCAAATCCCGAGCCGGCCGAGCATAATAGGTTATCGGTTAAATGAACAACAAAGAGGCTACGGTAAGTGCTTGTGCGTGCTACGAAAGGGTGAAAAACTCCTTTGGGACCCGCCGGTGCAGCCATCACGGCTACCGGTGTTCCTTCGGGCAGATAAGCGACCGTTATTAATGCGCTTAACTGTACAAAAAGACCTCCGATATCGCCTCGACCGCCGTATTGGTTCGGCTAATTCGATATTTAGATACGTAACGTGGTATCGATAACGTACGCAGTTCCCATTTATTACTCAATTCTTCGGGAGTACGGCCGAAAAAATTGATTTGATTAAAACAATATAACATGTTAAAGTAAACCATTAAAAGTAAAGTAACAGCCTATTGAGTCCTATTGCTAGGCTAAGGCCTCCTCTGTACAGAGGGTATCAGGGCATAGTCCACCACGCGGCCCCACTGCGGTTTGGCGGACTTCACATATCTTCGAAATATTTTGTTATTATTTCCAAACTTCGTTTTCAGTTTCGTCACGAAGTTTTCCTTCAATGCTAAGCACGTGATAATTCTGCACTTTAAATTAACAATTTCATTGGTGCCGGCATTGCTAGAGTATATGGATTTAAAAGCGAGCGCTCGGACATTGAGCAATCACGGCTGTACTCTAATCAAAGCATATGTATCGAATATTGTTATATCTATTACTTCACGAGTAAAGAGACATGAAAAAACTAAACAAAGCTTGTATTATGGATACTAAGTAATTGATAACCATACCTTTTAAACATACGTTTATTTGTAAATAAATACATATTAAAGATGAAACACCCGATCACTAGAAAACACTATGTTTATCACACAATATTTTTCAGTAGTCGAAATCGAATCCAAACCCTGCGGTGCAAGAGAGAGGTCCGCTATCCACTACGCCTACCGGGACTTCGAATAAAATGAACCACCGAATTAACGTAAGGCATCGACATCGACACGCAAAAACCGAGAGCTGTTATCTCCCTACAAGTATCGCCTATAAATTAATACAATAATACTCGCCGGATTAATTGAAGACATTGTCGGTATGTGTGTACTTGTGAACAATCTTTGGGATTCCTCTGAACGCGACTCGAGTGTCTGAATGACTGTCCACCATTGATTATAAAATATGCGACTTTTGTTTTGGACGCGGTAGTTTGAATTCTGGAAAACATAACATATATCGGGTATGTTGAAAATACTTACTTTACGTATAAACTAGGCGTAGAGATTTAACTGTTTATTAGCTTACTACGTTTCACCTTGTGTCAATACTGATGACACACACTTGATGACTCCATGGCGCAGTTGCCAAGTTATTGGCTTCGGCGTCGGGGGTCGTGGGTTCGATTCCCACACGGGACAACTATTTGTGCGTCCCATAGATAGTTGTTTCGCATCTGGGTGTTTGTCCTCGTGTAATTTATGTTTGTAAAACGTCCTTACAACACAGGACAATGTTATCCTAAAATGAGGGCAATGTTTTAAAAAATATAAAAAAAAAAAAGAATACTAATAATTAACAAGAATACTTCTGCCAATTTTGTGGCTTCTAATATGTCGATCTACTTTATACTATATTGTTCCATGTAACAGTTATATATTTCTAATTTAGACAAGCCGAGAAGCATTTGCGTCAAGTAAAACAAAGAGATATCCAATGCCGCATCCACTTAAGCCTACCCGGCTTACATCATGGATCCGCGGCAAGGTAGAGGGGCACATTAGTCGGTGGTCGGGTGACAAAACAAATGAGTGTTTTAGCGCTATCCGAGCGCGCTTTGATCTCGCCGCCGCGGTAGCCGGTAGATACCGGCCTCTCAGTATTATCTGCCCTGTTTGTATTACTCTCTTGTCGGACACTAAAGACCATTCGACGTCCACTGCGGTGGGCCGCTTTTAGCGCATTAAGTTGGTGATTTTCATTCAATTTAACGCAGTGTTCAGGATTTTCAATGGTCTATTTGCATGCTGTGAGAAGGTTAAGTGAAGTTAGGCTGTTTAGTTCTATGCGCACCTCTTAACGTCTCCGATGAGCGGGTGAACGATGATGGGTATGGGTAATTTATCTGAACAGATATGGTCTAGTTAAATATATTGTTGTTGTTTGTGGGTAGTCTAATTTTAGTTGGATGGTTGCTAAATGAGAAATCATTAGACGCTGTGTAGATTATTACGTTTACAATCCTTTATCTAATTCAGCGGTCGGGATGTACACTTAATCCTTTTAATTTCTACGAAAAATACAATAATGGTCAACCCCAATCTGTGTCTACGCTGTCCAAAAAATTTATAAGCCGAAAGGATTATGCAATTCAGTTTGTATCACACAGTTAACATAAGATTCATTTCAGTAAAATTGGCTTGCTAGTAAAACTATGTTATAGTTCGTTCTGTGATATAAATATTTTGAATTAAAAAAAAAAGGCAACGGCTTACCAAATGTAGGGTCACCCCTATATTTGGAACGATGTGTGTAAATTTTTAAAGAAAGTTACAAACAATTACAAAGATTGTGTTGAAGTGTACAAAACGAAAATAGCAGAATTGTGTTATAAAACGTCGTTACACGGGTTTTAAAGGTAGTAAAACGGGATAATTGTCATTAATAATTTGTAGCTGTAATGGCTTTCAACGAAGATCCAGTCACGAAGTACTAGACACAGAAATTTCCTCTACGGCTTAAACGCGACTAACATTCCTTTTACAGAATAATGTCTTCAATTACTGTTTTTGCTCAGATAACTTCAATAACTGCGCTTGCTTGCTTGTCGAAACTACTTTTTTCCGTACCAAAGGCATGTGTAAATCGCCTTATGTTATTCTTTTAATTAACATCGGATTTAAATACGACCGAGGGTAGGTAATACTAGCTTTAATTAAACCGCGACCTATTTGGCATGTAAAATAAATTTATAAAAATACGCCTACTCCATAGACGTCTATGTGCCGAAAGCCCCGACCACCAATAGCCGTTCCGATACGGCGATAAGGTGTTTAAATTCAACTTTTTATTGGGCTTTATCAACCGGCCAAAGCTTACTCACTCACACAATTGCGCCTTTTTAATTGTACCCGCTCTATTTGTACGCGCACCCACACAGCTACGCTAATTGGCCGAGTTATATTTGCGCCTCAAGTTGCCAAGGCTTGCTCGACTCTATGCTTTATTCCGTTAGGTTAAGACGGCGGATGGGTTCGTTGTGTTTTCTTGTCGTTTCTCTGGGCGTTTAGAAAACGCGGGATCTCGGGGTTTCACGAAATTATTGAACCCTGTGTATTTGCTGATGCGCTATCAGTTTAAAGCATTATGAGTTGCGAAGAATGGACGTGGCGACTGTAAATTTCGGTCGCAATTTAGATAGCTGTGGCGATAGGGACTTTGTTCTTTTTTAATTTCACGTGCCACTCGGTAACTTGTTTCCAATCTTATATCGATGCAGATTTGAAAATGTGCGTGTTTTATATCAATGTTCCGAATAAATATTTCGTAGTACGGATTTATCTGAGAGTTGATTGAACATACTTAAAATCTGAGGGACGGGTAACTTTTATGTGGAAAAGAAATGCTTATAAATTCCACCATATTTTCACATCGTTAAAGCTTGTTTTCGTTGAAAATAATGTTCAAAGTATTGAGGTATGATACTTTGTAGCACCTTCTACATTGGGTATTAGAGAACAACCATTCAAGCGAACAAAGAACAGATTGTTAAATTTCACATATATTCGAAATGTTTATTCGCTAACTGTAAGTATAAATATTTATATATAATTTTTCAGGTCAAACGTCAGCACTTGCATATTCCGCACATACAGTTACTCATTACTGTATTCTATATCCACTGCTGTTTCCAGACGTTCCCTTAGTTGTGTTAACTTGTATCACCACTCTCAATTGGCATTAAGAAATATTAATAAAACTCCACTTAATGAATAAATGAAGTTAATTTCCTCAATACCGCCATATGAGAGAAGCATCAAGCACCAGACGACCAAGCGGTCTCCAAACAAAGTAATAACATCAGAGCAACACCAAAATGGCCGCGATAGCGCCACCGATCCGACACAGGGCCGACAGAAAGACAGGTAGCCCAATACCGTTAAGATGCAACCGGCCGAGATAACATTAACAGCTCCGGTTAATAAGGCGAGTAGCATTCCGTGTTCCGTAGTAAACTCGCGAGATACGCCGCGACATGGTGGTCCCAAAGCGCGTTACGATCGGACGACTTTCTTTTTTTTTTTAATAATCTCATTTTCGTTCTTCGCGAACGTCACACGATTATCGTTTTGTTTCAGAGTAGCAGTGGTGTAACGAGAAGACGAATTGAACTTAGATGATTAATATTTATAGAAAAAAGTATGAAAAGTTTTTCACCGCTGTGGGAATCGAACCCACAAAGCTAAGGAGCCACACTGAAGAAAAGCTCAACCTCTTATATCTACATTGTTTTTTCGCATTTGAAGCAATGCTTGGCGCATCCGTTGTAATATCCTTTACAGTATACGAACAATTTCGAATATAGTTTTGCAACGATAACTCGATCGAGAGATGTCGCCATTCCTATTAGAATTATAGATTCGGAGTTGACGTTTGCTATCTGCTACGTTTCTTAGTGAAGCTGTCTCTGTCTTCCTCGTGCGCCGGAAAGAGAGCGTGGATCGGAGAATGGACCTCCGTTCGGACGACCTGATCTGGAAGGGGCATCGTCACGCCGCCCTCGGGTCTATACTGTCGCGTTAGGCGCCGCCCTACGGCCTCACCGCTTCAGAGCGACATAGATTATATAGGAAGCACCTCAAAGGCGTGTGACAGTTAACCCGAAATTCGCTCTCAAATGTTTTCGGCATCTAGGTATGCTTGTGTCTTCTATTAGTATGATTGGACAGTGCAGTTGTTAAGCTACAAGTCGTATAGCAGGTTCAATCGCAGCGTGTAAGAATAAGTAGATATTCTCAGTCCGGTGGAACATATCCGTGGTGTAATGTTTGTGTAGCCCTCCGACACAGACCTAACTTTAGTGTGATGGTCGCAAAAAAACCGACCAAGTGCGAGTCCGGTTCGCAGGGCCGGTAGGGTTCCGCACGAAGGGTTCCGTACCATTATTAAAAAAACGACAAAAAATAATGTCTGTTTTAGTATTTTTCTTCACATCATCTGTGAAAATTTCAACTGTCTAATTATCACGGTTCATGAGATACAGCCTGGTGGCAGACAGACAGCGGAGTCTTAGTAATAGGGTCCCGTTTTATTCTTTGGGTACGGGACAGTAAAAAATGCCTGATTAGAAATCATTTCAAAAGGACGCGCACGCAAAACACGTTTCGATAAATTTCATAACGCGAACCTCCCACAGTTTAAAGTTCCGTGTCAAGGAAATATTCTTGTTATTCCACTTTAAAAAGCATTCTCGTCCTGCACCTCGATGTGCCTCCGCGGGGGTGTATCAGGCAAACTCGCCGGGAAATGCGGGTAATGTTAAATTGTCGTTTTCACGACTGACGACACAGGTGTGAGGGAGCGGAATGACGATATAATAAAAATATTGAAGGAAACGAGAGGAATTCCTCACGCGAAACGCGAGACGGCGCCGAAACGGGCGACAGCCGACGGCGCCGAGCCAAATTAGCCCCTACTGCTAGAAGATAAAAGCGCCGGCAAGCAATTTTGGACGTTTTAAACGCGAAAACGTTGAGAACGAAATAATGGCAGCGTGTCCGTGTGATGGCAATACATTGTTTTACATCTAGTTCGCGAAATTGAAAAGGCAGCGCCGAAAGAGATATGATTTACGGTGGTGGCTCGAAATTGAAATTCCCTGAAACGTGTCTTATGACAATTTCGAGTGGGACATGAGACTTCGACTGTAATTGCGACTTGTTATCGGTGCATCGTTGCATTGTCGTATTGTTTCAGGCGTTGCGAATTTGTATCGGCGGGTGCGGTTTGTGCTGTTGTAGATTTCTATTGCTCGTATCGTTTGTATATATATATATACATAATAAATATATATACATACAATTATAGCAATATATGTGCCACGTAACACACACATATCGCACAGAGATCCCTGAAATAATTTAATCTATGACAAATAAATACGGCACAAGGAAATTGGACACATGACGTACGGAAAAACTGCCTGCCGCAACAAAAGCCATACCTAATTGGCTTCATCATACTACATTTATATTTCATGTAGGGTAAATTACTAATTAGTGGAATATTTACATGATCCAGAGAGTGTTTCCTAGATATGTTACAGGAAAATTAGGAGTGAGAGTGAGTGTCCTGTCACTACTATAATACTTAATAGTTATTTTTTTTACCGCAAGAGGGTGACCTGCATGGAAACTTTATGAATAGTTATCTTTAACTACGTTCCATTTTTTGCCAGGTCCGAGATTATATACATATACATTAAAACTTTATGTATGACCTAAGTATGAAACTCAATCGTGCTCTTTTATTTGATTCGGTACAGTAGAAGAGTAGATAAATGAGCAAAACAACCAATTCTCTACAAAGAGTATCTTCAATTGACTACTCATACATAGCTGATACGCGAATCTCCAAAATATTCAGACTTCTATCGTATAATTCTGCATTAGAAATAAACTGATATCTGCCGCCTTCACATCGTAAGTTTGATAACCAAACGACCTGCACTATCCTTGTAAGCGATACACAATAAAATATAGAACCACTGTTTTGGCTCTAGAACGATACGAAAACACGTATACCACCGCAATTCGAAATGTCGTATTGGTTATAAATGTCTCAGCGCCATTTTTTATAGTGCGCCTTTTGCCCCGCTAGTGGGGGCCAATGGCGTGAACTCAGCCATTCCGATGGAGCGACATGCTCGTCAGATATTTCCATGTCTGTAGGGCGGTTCTATCGCACGCTATACAAGCATTTGATGCACCGAAGACGACCCTTACAAGATCGCGGGGATCTAAAGATGTTTCGGCCGGGTGGGTTATCAGAAATGGGGGATTTCGGTCGCTTTTCAAATTTAGAACGCGATATAGAACAAGCATACTATGATTGTGATCTTTATAAAGCGCATCAGACTCTTTTTAAATTAAAATATCTTTACTCAGTATAGAAGCGCTCAATTACACTTACCGATTGTCAAAATACTACTAACACATGGACAACAATGCAATGTATGCGATGCTACCTACCATATGAAATACCAAATCAGAAGGCTGAATAACATGTCCTGACGTTACTACGTTAAAGTAAAGTACTCTTTATACTTATTTGTAGTTAATGGAAACTGCTAGAAAATTTACTTTTGCACAAATATACACAGATGATACGACTTCTTATTCGAAATTTCAGCTCAAAATTAAACAATTTCTAATAGAAAGTTTGGACCAAAATAATATAAACATCCAAGTTTCCCGCAAGAACTAAATACCGTTACTATCTTTTCATTCAATTTCAACGAAACTTTCAGCGTGGAAAATCGAAATCTCTAAATTAATTGCGTCCATACATTCGGTATTGGTCCTAACACCTAAATAACACAATTAGGCGCGCCATTCGAACCCATAAAATGGAACGACGCATGAATCGTTACACTGGCGCCCCCATAACAGCAGTCGCTGTACCCCCCCCATTCCGAGTGTTGGTATTAATGACCAGCACGCATTGACCCGCAGGCTTCGACGCTGCGTACACAGAAGCGAAGGGCGAGATGTCTTTTAAATGGGCGAGGGGGATCGCATTTCGTTGGTGCCCTTGCATGCGTGCTTTGGAGCCATCCCGGTTTCAGCCTAATGCCACTTGTATCGGACATTTTATTGTCACACGCTCATAGTTTCCCTTGAGTTGTGACGCTCGAATTTTCGGAAAGTATGTCGCTTTCGACGTTTTTATAGGCCCTAAAGCCCGGGATGGGAGTGAACTTGGAGGGTTTCTAAATTTGCGGTGTAATAAGGGCTCGGGCTAACCGAACCGCTTTTACAACATAGACCGGTACGGAATTGAAGGCGTACCAAGAAAGAAATAATAAAAATTCTATGGCGTGTTTATTTAATAAGTAATTTATTTTTTATTTAAGGGGCCATCTGGTCCGTTCTTAATTCACCACCCATGGATATCCGCAACAATAAAAAAGTTGCAGGTTGGCCAGTTTTAGAGGCTCTTTTCAGCTCTCAGTGACCGGACTCGCTCTAGACATAGGAAAAGTTGCTTCTATTTCACACCGATTTTTTATAAGGTCTAAAGTTTTAATATTCGGGCATGTCGACTCTTTAATTCAAAGAAACTTTTGCGGGGCAAACATAGTAAAATATACATTTTCTATTCTTACTATTTATTTTACATTGTTTCTGATGTATATTTTCTTATGACTTATCGGCGAGGGTCGTGGTTCGATTCCCACACGGTAGAACTATTTGCGTGAACCCACAGATAATTGTTCCGGATTCCCAAGAATGGTCTTCCTTACGTCTTAGCCGTTAGGCAGACCATTAACAAAATAATTCAGATGATGAATCGACCCCACCTAGGTGGGACGAAGGTGGGGAGAAGCGAAATAAAAAGAAGATTGTCTGCTTATCCACCTCGATATTCATTTTAAGATTAAACAATTCAAAAAGTAATTAATAAATTCACTCAATACAATGCAAGAGCTATCGAGTTATCCCCTAATGCCCTCTGAAAATAGACCAGAAATCGACTCGCGTCAAAAGATGCTGAAAGTGACTCTTGCTAAGGGGGCTTGAGGTTCCTAAGAAATTTAATACAACGCCGGCGATGCGCCGCGACCGCATGGAATTTAATAGACACGTCAAAATAGAAACCTCTTCGTCGAACGCAATAAAACTGAGGTCGTTATAGAGCTCGGGGCCCGAAGGTATCCCGGGCATTTGCTTGTCTCCATTTTTAATGCGAACGCAACATCGAGCGGGGCGCCGGGCCGTCGCACGAATAAATTTTGGCATTCCGGTGGAACGCGGCGCGTTGAAACTTGTGGAAGTGTTGTTCTCTCAATTTTCCCGCCAATTTTCGGTCTACAAAATGGCCGCTGCTCAGGCACGCACCGACACGCAAGCCGGAACACGCGACACGAACGCGTGTCGTTAATAAAACCCGAAGGAGACAATCGAAGAATGCGCGAGCGGGTTTAAAATTGATGACAGCGAAAATATTCTGACAACTGTATTAAGCGAATTGTTTTGGTGACAATTTTTAAAGTTATATACTCAATGTTTATAAAGTTAATTAACTTCAAATCACGTCAAAGTTTTTCTCAAGGCGTTTATTCTAACTTGATTTTTTTAAATTGACAATCCCGACTTATACAATATTAATTAGTAACAATCAAACTTAACTTGCTCTGGTGTTTGTTTGAGGTTTCGTAGTTATGGGTTTAAATATAGTAAATTTTCATCTATTAAAACGACAAACAGATTGTTCATGTTTCGAATCCCTGCGAAGTATAGGTACCAGTTATTGGATTCGTATTGTTTCTACTGCATTCGAACCACATTCAGATGCTATCAGAATTCGGGTCACGAGTGAGTCCATATTGCTATTATTTCCACGGTTCTATAATAATCTTGCAGTTATCGATTTAGGTTTAAGAATAGAGGTGCTATTTTTTTTTAATGTTAGAGAAACGCATCACAATTAATTTTAAATTACTTAATATCTAAAAATAATTACAAATGGACGCATAAAAATTATAACTTAATAAGATACGAAAAATGTAATAAAATACG